CGAGTTCTCTTTCCTCACTCCCTTGTTTATGAATAGCTCCTATCGTTCGTGTCCCACACCTGTGGTTCACTCACTTGATTTACTCTTAGGGGGGGACCCCCTTCCCCCTAAGAACCCCCCTTTAAGTCCCATCCCTGTTCCGATATGAGGAGCTAAAAGACTATCGAAATTGCATAAGTGATACATGAACCTTTAAAGTTTACTTCTCCTATCCTTCGAACAGCGTTTAGCAGTCCTGGATTCGAGTACTTGAACTTTAAAGACAAGACGGCATGTATTGTTAGCCCTATATCTGCGATCAACTTAAGTCAGAGGGACTCTTATGTCTGCGATCAACTTTAAGTCAGAGGGATTAGGCTAACGTCATAGAACTATAAATTCAGTGACTCATGAGGGAGAATTCCTGGGACAATAATACTGTCTGTTTCACCTGATTATAGCTACTAGACGCGCTATACCTGACCGACGGTGGCTCCATACCGGATGCTAGGTAAAGAGTTTCCTTCCTAAGCTTTAAAAGTTTTTGAAGGTTCTCCTTACCTATCCGGGAGGTGAATTAGAGGGAAGGGCAGCCCTCGCCCCCCGGGGTTATAGAGTTCCTAGCACTAAAACCGTAGGTTTTAGAGGAACTCTATAGCTTAATAAAGGTCTTAAAGGCCATTTTATTGGCCTTTAAGCTACTATTAAAGAAGTTCCTGTATCCATACCTTATAAAGCTCACAAAAGGACCTTTAAAGAGCCTATTGTTCTAGTTAAGGTTACTACAGGACTACTACTGATGTTACTAAAGGACTAGCTAGCTCTTATCTAACTCAACAGCTCTAGCCTACTCTTAGATAACTCTAGCCTGGTCTTAGCTTTCCTTCCTTATTACTTTACTAATACAGGAGTTGAAATAGAAGCAGTAAAGTCCTTACTCAATTCCTTATCAGGAATTGCGGACTTGTTCCCATATTAGCTCAGAGTCTAGCTTTAACTCCCTATCTCCTTAAAGGTTATCTGTAGTTTCCTCTAGTTGATTAGCTCGAAACTCAACTCCTAGCTAACTCTTATCTAAGGATTAGCTCTAGCTTTAGATTAGATAAGGATTGCTCTTTTTAGGTAACCCGTGCATACAAGGTATTTTTATAAACTAGCTACTATCGCTCCTGACCCTCACCCGAGGGTCAGTTCGCTTGCTATACTTTATCGGTCGTTCAGTCGCTCCCTCTTCCTG